TCACGATAAAATGATGCATCGACGGTTATTACGTCGCTGATGATCGCGCCGCTTGAGATAATCGCACGCGCGCGCGCGCGCGCGCCAAACATCGCGTTTCGCTGTTTCCCCGCGCGTAGCGCCGCCGGCGCTACTTTCCCCTCCCTTCGCCCCCTTCCCCCTCCCCCGACAGCATCTCCGGCGTACTTCGATTTCCCCGCAGCCCTCTTGCCACTGTCCTGTCGCGGATGCGCGACGTAAAAGCATCGACTCATTATATATACATATACATGTAGACACACATACATATGTGTGAGTGTATGTGTATGTGTATATACGTATATACATGTAGTGGTGTAGTCTTAATTGAACGCTTGCCGGAGTTTTCGCAGCGACCGAGTTACCAGGTATCGACTTTCGGAACTATCGGTTATCCGAACGCTTTTCCCTAGATTGAATATTCAAATTAGTTGTTGTAGACAAACCGCGGGGAATATATCGCTTCTCCGTTTAATTTCGAGCGTAATGTAACCGGTATGGAAAAAGAGAGAGGGGGGGAGGAAGCGAGTGGAGGAAGGACAAAGAGAGAGGAGTGATCAAAGGCGGATGAGCGTGGCCACCGTTTCCGGGTATAATTCCTTGCTCCATCCTCTCTCTCTCTCTCTCTCTCTCTCTCTCTCTCCGGCCTGATCCGATGCGCTCGTAATAATTTTTTTCCTTATTACGTCTCGCTTTCGCACACACACAGCACCGTTGTGTATTTCCCGCACGTAGCGCGTACGGTCGATGAATCCTCCGCGGTCGAGGGAACGTCGAGGAACGCTTTTGAGTTCCGTCTGAATGGATAAGCTCTTGAAATGCAATTATCCGTTTTTTCTTTATTCACCGAAATTCAGCTCGCAACAAGATCGCAGAGTCGTACGAGGCCGGACGAGAAGGGTTCTTCGCAGGACTCGACGAATAAATATAATAATTATTCGACATTCTCGCGTACACACACACACACACACACACACACACACACACACACACGAGTGCTATTGTATTACATCTACCGGTATGCATCGCGTAATTTCATGCCGATTGTTCCGCAAGATCTTTCACTCGACGATCCGATCAGCGCAGTCTGTGAGGTCGCGAAACCACAAAGCATCCTTCTGCGCAGAAATTTCTCCGGACTTTTCCCAGATACGGCGTAGACTCCGATTAGTATACCCTAATTTGTTCCAACGTTGGATATTCGATTGCGGTAGCGATTGGAGAATCCCACTTTTACACGACCAATTTGGAATAAAAAATGAAAGAATAAAATTCTGATAGGAATCGAAAGGCAGGAGGGGAAAAGGGACTTTGGATATTTTTAACGTGAGATCTTGAGGTTTTTACACTTGAAGTGAAGATATAATTTATTGCGTTCCTCAGGACATCATTTATTTTCCAAAAAAGGGTCGAGCGGGAGATACTTGAGACAGTCAGAATATTTACGCGTTTGAGTAGTATCCTTTCTCGCAAAGGATGCGTAGCCGCTCAAAGCGTTATTCCGATATTTCGCTCCGCATGAAGCGGAAAATGGAGATAAAAGCAAGAGAACTTCGGGAAGCCGCTCGACACAGAGAGAATGTGATCTTTCGAAGGTTCCTCATTCGGGATGAAATTTTTGAGACGCTCTGCATCTCCGCCGAATCTTCGTGGATCACCCAATCAGAGCGCATCATTTTCCCGGGGAAGCGGGGAATGGAACCCAGTTAGAGATCCCAGAGGACATCTTCCACGCGGGGTCCGATTGGAAATGCGCCCGAGCGAGCGCTGTTATTCTTGAGAATGGCCCACGTTCGTTCGAGATGCGTGCGCGTGATGTAAACGCGCCGCGACGTCCAACGTTCTTGTGGTGTCCTTGTGTTTGCACATCGTTATTATCAGCAATGATAATAGCGCTGCCTACTTACGGCACACGCACACAGCAAACGGATCAACCGCGCCTGTCCGCGCTCGCAATTCCGTCGTCGACCGCGTGTTCTACTTTGCTCGTTTTCTCACTCTCTTCCTTTCTCCCTCGCAAGAACAACTTCGCTCGAGTTGCTCGAGCCTGCTCAGGAGGCGAAAAGTAGCCTTGGCAGCGTGCAAGGTCGAGGTGCTCGCGAGCTGTCGCGCCTCAGACTCATCGGGAACACAAACGGGGAGCCTTCACGACTACTGCGAGGACTCGCGCATCGCGCCTCGAGCATGGCCGACAGAAGGATCAGGCTGCTGTCGCCCGTGGGATGGTGCCGCAAGGAAGACGTGATTATCACCGGAGTGTGCGACCGTCGCTCAGCAGCGAACGACTTCTCCCCGCCGTCCGGGTCGGCTTCGAGGAGAACGTCGCCCGACGAAGAGCCCCAGCAGGCTGCTGACGCGTCCAAGCAGACGGACAAGGACGAGCTGTCACTGAGCGATCATTCGCCCACGATCAACGTCACCTTGCCGAGCAGCAAGGTGCACTCGTGCGCCAACTCCGAGGCCGCTTCCTCGTGTTCACCAGGTCCAGCCGAGTGTCGATCAGCCGACAAAGACCCGTCGTCGTCATCCGGCTCGCCGGAAAAGCGACTCCGTGTGAGCAAGGAGAGAGACACGCCACGACGCTGCTTGCCCGAGAAGACGGAGCAACAGAGATCCTCCTTGATGGTGTCCGAGATGCACTTCCTGCTGATGAAGTCGAGCAGGAACCGTAGGAACGCGTCGTGCGCGCGCGACAGGGAGACCGAGTCCAATGACGACTCCGCTTACGAGGAGTCGGGGCCTGAAGAGGACCACTTGGACGCAGAGGTGCCGTTGATACGCATAGATGACTGGGACGCGCTGATCGAGAAGGAATCGGAACAATCGTGAGGGCGTCGCGGCCGGGAAATGCCCGACGGTTTGATCTCGCGGTTTACTCTGCGGATGAAAGCCGTGCGAATGACGCGACGACGAATGTGACGCAAGGACGACGATCATGCGGGCCACCTGCGTGTGGAAGTCTGCGGGTGTCGACCCGAAGACTCCGCCTCGACGCGAGGGGCTCTCGTGTGACTAAAATGTACTTTGCGGCAGGCTGAGTGAGGGCGCCAATGCGCGCGTCTAGCTCGACGCGTTTTTATCGCTCCGGCTTCTTATAATTCGATACGTGAACTCTCCACGTGGAATATTTGTGCGTACACGTATGCGGATTTATACGCATGTTCCTTGCCGGGAACTTGCGCGTCGATAAGAACGCTCCGAGTTGCCGACGTATTGGCGGTCTCACTCTTGCCTTAAGGTGACTGCAGGGTCAGATTACTGAAAAATCGTGCTTGCTTTTTGCAATATTTTGCGACGAACTGAATAAATGTGCAAGAATGATAATTTTTCATATATTTATATAACATATGAAGAGTAGAAAAATTTTGTTTATCACACAAATATTCATATAAATATACGCCCACTTGAATTTTAAACGCGTTTCTCTCGCGAAATTTTATTGCATTCAACTTTTTGCAGTGATTTCTCCGAAACTGAGCTTCGTATCGATTTGAAATTTTAAAGCGATAATACTTGTTCATCTGGCTCTCAGGTGAACCATGGACAACTCCGTCAAAATATTTCATTTCGAGATATTAATTTTTTTATCGTAAAAGAACTGGAAAATTTGAATTTTTTCCTAATAATATTTTGTTAATTTTGTTCGATTTTTTTTTTTTTTATTATAGTGCTTCACCGGATAATGATAAGCATCCTTAAGATTTCTAGCTAAAATTCACTCTTATCGAACCACCGAGAGCCGAGATATTACTGCAAAAACGATAACTTGAAGAAAAAAAGGAGAGTATATTTCAGCCATATACATCGTATATTTATACGAGTATTTGTTAATAAACAAAATTTTTCTACTCTTCACATGTTGTATAAATGTACCTAAAATTTTCATTCCTGCACGTTTATTCAGTTGATCGCAAAATATTGTCAAAAACAAGCACGATTTTTCAGCAATCTGACCTGACCCTCCAATCCCCTTAATCGTGCTCTGAAAAAATGTCGATGCACCCAAAACTGATTGTAAATATGGACAATTGTAACTGCGATTATCAATTGTTCGCAAGAATCGCGGTTTAAGGACGATTTGTTAGCGAGTTGGCAGCGTTTTAGCGACTAAGAGATAAAGAAGAATGCGAAATAATTCTAGTAAAAATAATTCCAGCGTGTGTGTCCTTGCCTTCCTTCGTATCGTCCTTACAACCTTCGTAGCCTCGTCTTTCTTCTATATCCGCGACGAGCCCGCGCTCGATTGTCGATTCTTTCGCTCGCGATCGCCTGACGCGCGCGAATCGTTTATCCTTGCTTTCGGATTTGCACGCGCGATTTCCACCGACGTTTCGCGTAACGCGCGTCTTCGAGAGCTTCTCGCTCTTTCGAGAAAGCGGGCTCGAAAACACCGAGAGACAAATCGGGGGAAGAACCATCTCCGCGCTGCGAACACGCATGGATGCCTCGTTCGACTTGTTGGATAAGGAGAAATTCAATCGGTCGGTTTATCGTTACGAGTACAAACGTGTCCTGTTTCCACCGGAGCGACGGAAATTTGAGAAAAAATACGCCACGCAAGAGCAAACATGTTTTCATGTTTTGTTGTTCCTTCTTTTCTTCGACAGCCATTGAGTGTGTAAAAGTGTTGTACGTCGTCGCACGAACTTGAGTAATTCTCATAAGAAAATACAAACCGGCCAGTTTTTATCGTTTAATAATTCCCATGCAAACATCGGCATTTCTACCCGGAAGGGCGAAGATGTTTATTTATTCCTTGCGGTTTTATCCAATCTTGGCTCAGAATATCATCGCAAATACATCGTTACGGATTGGAGTGATTCTCGGAAGGAATTACAAGCCGGCCATCTTTGACCGCTAGACGCCAGTCCTAGTGTTAATAAACATTCGTCGCACTCGTCTCGTCTAGTAGAGACAGAGACACCTCCGGAGCAAGCACCTTCGGAACGCTCCCGAGAGGGCGCTCGCCTCGCGCGACTCGCCGGCGCAGATTTCGTGCATCGCACTTGCCGAGCGTGCAGAGACGCGTGTGAAAGAATGGCGGACACGAACGACACATCGGTTCCAGGAGAAAACGGCGATCGGCAGGAATCGAGCGAGACGTTCGTGAGATATGAGGACACCTGTGAACACTCTGCCACGCAGTGGCAGAAAACCGCGGACAACGAGAGCGGGATAGGATCCGAGAACATGGAGGAACAGGAGGAGTCATCTACATCACGGGAGACGATAAGTGAACTTGTCGATTTCGCGAACGAGCCGGGAAAGCAAGTCGGCCACGCGGACGGTCCGACAGCGGTCCTCTCGGCCGACGAAGAGGCAAAGCGAGACGTCGACGAGGTCGACTCGTTCGCAACTGTGTACCACGAAAACGTGAAACATGTGAGCGAATATATAGAGCTCGTGTGCGGCATGATAAAGAGCGAAAACAAAGCCGCCAAAGCCGCCGCGGCGGACACGACAGAGAAGACACCGATACGAGTGATGTTCACAGTGAACGGCGGGTCATCCAGTCGGAGCAGCTCACGAAACGCGAGTCCGCTGAGGAGGAAGAGGACGAAGAACGACCAGGCCCAAATTCTCGAAAGATGCCAGCTAGGTATAAAACGCTTGACCTTGGCGGCACAGCCGGTCGATCGATGATCGTGGCGTGCCGCGGAGCAATAACAACAATCCTAACCTTGAATGTACGCTTTTGCAGCGGGCCTGCGCGACGAGCGATCGCGCCTCTCGGCCACCTGTTAGTCGCTCGACGCGCCTCCGGATCGTTATCGATCGAGCGACGCGCGGACGTCTTGCAATGCAACTCGCGCGGCCGCTCTTCGTCGTGCGCGCTTCGCGACGTAACGCGGGCTTTGCCGCTTCCCATCGCTGGAACGCCGCGCGCTCTTTGGGAATTTTAGTAGAGACCACGATACACGCAAGTTGGGTGACTCGTTAGGAGGAAGGGCAGAGGGGAGGCAGCCGGTTGAGAGCGATAGAAAACAAACCCGTAGGGCGACACTTGTAGTCCTGGGCGCTTAAGGGCGTCTTAAGTTCGTCCTCGAGTGCCACGCGGGACGTCTTATTGGTCGCGAGGTCAATTGGCCTCGAGCTAAATCGAAACCACATCGACGAGACTCTGAAGTGAAGTCCAGTCAGGTACAAATTAATTGTAGAAATAGAGCCGGATGTTCCAACTTCTCGGTAAAGTTAACTGATAGCTAAATCGTATGTTTGTGTCTTTGTTTTTCCCTCAATTTGAACAAAGACAGACATATAATTAAACTATCAGTTAACTTACCAAAGGAGTTGGAACAACTCAGCGTCACGTTACACTGGGGGGAGAGGGGGGTCTGTGATAGAATTTAGGCGAGATACATGGTCGATGTTCTCGATGACGAACAGGCGAGTATTGAGTATTAACCGACTGAAGTCTTAATTGACTGTAGTAATTTCGGCAAGTCAGTCATCAGGATTAACCAGTCGTCATATATGCAGCTATGAATAATTTAATCGATTGATGAGTGTAATTGGCAATCAGTGTGTAATCGATCAGGTAATCGACCGAAACGACCATTCCGTATAATCACAGTTTACTCGGTATTGATTTTGCTGATTTCGTGCCCTGATACTCTCGTCAACTCGTCCTCCACCACGTTCCTTACGTACTTTAATGCTCGGTCTGTTGGCCAAGCGATCATGAGAGAAGGGTTGTTTCAAAAATCGGAGGAAAATAGCGGAAAAATTGGCTTGTCCGCGAGGTACATCCAGGATCATTGACGGGTGGAAAATGCTGCGACTATCGGGGGTCGACAGCGACCGCATAATGTGGTCCGAAGCTCCGCGAATCGAGAAGCGCGACCGATCGATACCGCGAGCCGAGCGAGCCGTGCTCGCGAGATAATTGCCGCAGTCGACGTCGGCGATCGATCGCGCAGGTACGCGGTTCGCAAAATTACATTTTCGGCGTGATTGAGACTTTCTTCGTGTCTCCGAGCGCATCACAATCCCGACTAGAAATTTATCCCATGGTCCTGATCAGGTTAACCTCATTTGGACATCAAGTCCCAATAAGGTAATACTATCGGGTCCTAGTAAGTCATGTAACGCAGCGTGGATATCAGGACCTTAGTAAGGATTCATAGTCAGGTCCTTATTGAGTTACCTTATGGAATCCTTATTACGTTTTTTTATTTTTTTTTTTTTCAAATTATGGCTCCCGATTACTCGCCACGGCTATATTGGATGATGACATTAGAAATAAGAAATGACACGCTGAGAATTCTCTCATCTCATTTCCAAATAAAAAGATATTTGCATGAAATAATATTTTAGATCGCTTGAGCATACTTGTAAAATGTTTCGGAAAAGAAATATAAAATGAATATCATAAGATCATGAAGTATCACAAGGTGACAAGACATAAAGTAGTGTTAAAGAGAAAAGTCGCATGTCACGTTAATTTTACAACTATTTATTGACTGCTAAAAAAAGGATAGTTTCTATAGCATTTTACAAATATATTCAAGCGATCTCAAGTGTTTCTTCAATGCAAACATCTTTATATTTGGAAATGACACCCAAAAATTGTTTTGTTAAAACTTGATAATGCAAATCATATTAGGTACAATGAATAAGATCCCAACAAGGACCTGATTAACTGAACCATATTATATCATACATTAAGGTCCTAATGTGGACCCAATCATTATAACCTTATAAAGGTCTTTTTTACTCATTTGTCGTTAGGACATTATAAGGACTGACTTACTTAGGATTACCTCTCATTCACTCCATTGGGTTCTTATCAATGTTAGGTGAACCTGATCAAAATTTCTAGTCGGGATTGTATGGCACTTCGGCCGCCGTGCGACGTGGCGATCGGCGAGGAATTTCGCTCCTCCGCGCGACGCAGCGCCGTTCAGCCGCGGACGACACTTGAGTAAACACGCGCTAATGAGCGATTAATAATTTCACGTCGCGCCGTCCTCTCGTACACGCCGGCTGCGGTCGTCTTGCGTAATCAACCGAAATTAAATGCGCGAGCGTTCTCACGGAGCCCTCTTGCCGTTATTTATACCGAGTGTTCGAATAGACTGAGACGCACCTGTCATCGCCAACATCGAAGTGACAATACGGTGAGACACTCGTTTGTTTGTTCACCGCACGCGCGACCAATGGAAGCGCACAAAAATAACTTGCGCTGCCAGGATCGAAGAAAAAAAACATTTGAACTCTGAAAGGGTTGATCTTTCCATCCGTGTTTATCAAGCACTTTTTACTCAACGCGACGAGTACTACCCTGAGACCCGCGAGGTTTCGAGTTCTTTTTTCTTCGGACACCCCGTATACCTCGCCTCGCCGGTCTCGTGTATATTCTTCGGGTATTCGCGTGTGGAACAAGATTTAAGTGTCGCTGCGCGATAAAACGCGGGACGGTAAATCAGCCGATCGCGGCACAGAGGAGGAGGAGGAGGAGGAGGAGGAGGAGGGGAAAATGAGATTAAGCATCTTAACGTTTGCGTAAGTTCTCCCGCGAGTAAGCCGTACACACTCGCTGCGTGCCAAACGCGCTTCGCGCTGTGCACGAAATTATTCGACTAATATTTAGCGTGTGTATTTTGCCATGTGTGTGTGTGTGTGTGTATGTGTGTGTGTGTGTGTGTGCGTGTGTATGGCACCGCGCACCCACACATAGCGACTTATCTGCGCGACGGCGCGTCGCTTTGTGCCGCCGCAGTATCTCGTAAAAAGGCGGTAATCGTCAGCTGGGATTACGGCAAACGGCTTTAATTAATGCCGTTGCTGGCATCGACGGCAGCCGACAGTCTACGACGGCAACGCGTAACGCGGCGAAGATAAATCTGCATCCTCCGGAACGGAGAAAGAGAGAAAAATGCAGCTGTCGCTCGGCCGCCGGGGATCTCCCGGGCACCTCGACTCTTACTTTTTCGTGGCGACCAAGAGCAAAAGAAAAAGAGATTACGCCGTTGAAATGTTCCTCCGCGTGTTTACGTTTTCCCGGGATTTATCCGCGCTCGTAAATTCTCGGCCGTAAGCAGCGGCCGTTAGAAAGAGAGAGAGAGAGAGAGAGAGAGAGAGAGAGAGAGACGTTTACGCTTCTAATTCCGTTTCGCGTTTTGTCAACAGATGTCCCATTTCCACCGTCGCACAAAATGACAGTGGCAGAGGTCTTCGACGAGCGGACAGATCGGCCGCGGCCGGAGGTCCTCAAACAGCACTTTATCCTGGAAGGTAGGATCGACGAGGCCGCGGCTCTTCGTATTATCAACGACGGAGCCGCTCTTCTACGCTCGGAGAAGACTATGATAGACATCGAGGCTCCGGTCACCGGTGAGTCTCTTTTCTCATCTCCTGGCGAAAGTTGCTCCCCGCAATTTTCCACCTCGATGAAAAACGGACGCGAGTCCTTGCGACTGCTCGTCCTGCCGGCCGTCTTAAAATTGACTCCGACGCCGGCTATGCGCTCGCGCTCGCGCGAGCTTTAATTGCAATCGAAAACTCGGCCCGCCGTTTCGCCACGCGAGAGCCCCCCTCCCTGCCCGCCTCCCGCCGCCCGTGATCAATTATCCTTGAATTAAGTTGGTCGCGGCGGTGAGGCCTCCTTTGTGGCGCTCGCTGATTGTTCTGGCAGCGTGGGATAGAGTGTAATAAATCCCACCCTCGGTTACTCTTCGATCGATTCGATCCTATTTCCTTCCACTGCCGCCCTTGCCCCTCCCCCCCCCCTCGCTCACCCCAGCGTCTTCCCGTCGTCCGCCGTCGTCCTTTTGGCGCACGCATCGTCGACAGTTATTACCCTACGCGAGGCCGCGATGCAAGTTCCTCATTAACGCGATTAATGAGCCATGGAATCCCCGTCGTTTTTTTTTTCCGTTTCATTCCTTTTTGCCTCTCCTCGAAGGACCCCCTCCCCCCATCGCGGGTCATTAAAACGACCGCCTGCTCCGGGCGGACAAATCCGCGCGAAATGTTGTTATTTCGCGACCGTCGCTTTGCCCCCTAATTGACGGGCTAATTAAGCACGCCGCCGCGGCGGAACGATAACCGGCTCTGATCAACCGCGCGATTGTTATTCGCGCTCTCGCTGATCGGGGCAATTAGCAAAAATCGCGACTAACCAAAGTAGGTAGGTGGTAGAGCGCGGCAGGGGCGACTACCCCCCGATGATTTATTTGTATATAACAATGGTGACCGCGTCAGCCAGTTCGCGAGCGAGCAAGCGAGCGCGTCAATCTCGCGCCGACCTACCTCCCCCTCCCGCCCCCGCCCTCGCCCGTATTTCCGCTCTCGCGCGAGTTAGACACGTCGACGAGGTCAGCGAATTGACCTCGGGGATTTATCCGCCGCGTTGTTCGACCGGTCGAAATCGCTCGTTTCTCACTTCCTTTCTCTCCTCTCTCTCTCTCTCTCTCTCTTTTCTCGTTTCGTTCTTCCCTTTCGTGTCTCTTTTTCTCCTCTTCCGCCGTTTTCACGCTCGCCCCGCGCTTTTCCTCGCTTCTTCGCCGCGCGCGACCATCCGTCGTCCGCATCCGTCTGCGACGCGTCCTCTCGCCGCGGCGTAATTCATCTTTCTAACCAAGTGCGCTCAGCCGTTCTCTCTTTCTCCTCCTCCTCCTCCTCCGCCGCCGCCGCCGCCGCCGCGCGATGCGGATTCACGTTCGACAATCGGACGCCCGTTGCACCGCAATTTCTCTCTGTCCAGCTCTCTCCTTTTTATTCCTCCTTCCGGGCGACACGTCTCTGCCAAAAGCGAGAACGAGAGGACGAGGACCGCTGTAACTGCATATACACACATACACACACGCACGCACACACGCTACCATTACCTCGTACAAAGCGAGAGCTCGCAACAAAGTAGCGCTGCCCACCGGCCGGATATTTAGATCGCTCCGAATTGCACTGACGAGCTTCTCAGCCCGCCAGCTCGAACCCTGAATAATGTGAGTTTAATCGAAAGGAGATACACACACACACACACATACGTGGTCCGTGTAAAAATTCAGCCTCCGGCCCGAGCGCTCCGCCGGCGACTCTCGCTTGATGAACCGTGACGTATGCCCGGGGAACGTGGCGCGGGGTGAGAGGGGGTGAGGGGGTGGATTAATCCGGAACGAGAGGAGGAAACGTGTGAAGCGCGCGGTGACCTATTGGAAAATTAATCGACGCTTAACCGCACGCTTCGAAAGATCGAAGCGTGTCGGCGCTTTATATTTCCAAAACCGGGCTTTCCTCCCCCCTCCTGCCGTTTGTGCGCCCTCGTGCACGACCTCTGCCCTCGGGGAATCCGGTGCGATGAACGTCGCAGTCCGGGCGCAAGGGCGCCGGCTTGATTCCGCCGAGAAACGCGAAAGCTTCTATATTCTCGCCGCGTCTTTCCCTCCGTCGCCTCGCGCAATTAGAGAGGCAAAGGGAGAGAGAGAGAGAGAGAGAGGGAGGGACGCGTTGGAAAGAAATAAAAACAAAAAGAAAATTCTCGCGGGGAGATGCGAGGTAACAAAGCGCGCGGTAATTGCCATCTAACTCGTTTGTGCGAGCAGAGCCGCGTTTAAATTACGTCGATCGCATCGCCGACGACATTTACGCAGCCGAAAACGCCGCTCGAACGCACAGAGGAGGATCAGAAGCAAGAATACACGTGTACACGCGTGCGTGCGTGCGTGCGTGTGTGTGTATGTGTGTGTGTGTGTGTGTGTGTGTCCACATCGTTGGCCTATTTATTTTATTTCGTATTTCCTCCGCTTTTATCGCCGTCGATCGCGGAGTTCAGTTAACACGACACTCGCGTAACCGCGTTTCCGGCTGCGTATCAATTTTGCGCGAGCACGGCAGGAAGACAATTAAGATAGCACGCCGCTAGATAACAACCGCTGTATACAATCTCCCCCCTCGCCGCCGCCGTCCCTTGCCGTCGTTTTCCATGTCGCGACCGCGCGCGCGGGTGAAAAAAAACGGGTTTCAACACAGCCGAGTGTTCGGACGAATATTCCCTCTTCTCGCCGAATTCTCGCCCGGTCTCTGTTCAATCACAGGGACTGACGAACCTTCTTTTCCGCCCCAATTTTGATCCCGACTGTTCAACACCTACGGATTCCGGGGCGCGTCAATGGAAATTTCGTCGATGTGGAAATCAAAGTCAAAAGTGGAAAATTTGCGCAGAAAGTGCACAAATTCGCCACTCGAGAGGACCTCTCGACAAAGTTACAGATTAGACAGAATAGCTTGATGCAGGCCTCGAAGCGTGAAATCAGCGTTACATATATTATTGAGGATGAGAGCAGGATGAAAATTTCAACTCGGCCGGTTCGGCCCGCAAGGAAGTTTCACCCGTAGGAGGCAAAAATGTTGATACGCGGAATCGCCGGAATGGGAAAAGTTAGATCGGCAGGCTCGCGCTGCTCGACGGCGTATTCGACGTTGAACGGCGCGATTTGAACGCGAGGCTGCTCCACGCGCGAAATTGCGCTCGGTGATACGCCGTATCGCCGAGTTGTACGTAAGGGACGTAAGGAAGTCACTTAACGGCGGCTCTTATCTTGTTCTTTTTTCAAGGCGGCGCGCTCCTCTCCTTAATGATCCCGTCCACGTTCCTCTCCCAGATTCTATCTTGCACAGAGAGAGAGAGAGAGAGAGAGAGAGAGAGAGAGAGAGAGAGAGAGAGAGAGAGAGAGAGAGAGAGAGAGAGAGAGGGAGAGGGAGAGACGCGAAGACGAGGACACCGGTAAAGCTTTACGGCCGCGCTTAACGAAGAAACTCGTGAAGGCTCTCGAGTGAAAAGAAGAGGGGGAGAAATGGAAGAGGGTCGCGAGAGGGAGGGCGGTGGGGGGGAGAGTGCGGAGGAATATTACCGCGGTGCCGAGCGATTATCGTAACGCGCTGTTTTATCTGTCCTATAACGCGAAAAACAAAGACGGGGGATGAGAAGGAGGGAGAGGGAGAGGGAGGAAAGTCCAAGGAAAGTTGGACACGCGGCTGAAACGACGGCCAACTTTGCTCGACTGCCACGCCGCCTCCCGAGGAAACGCACTAATCGCCGATGACGATCCATCTCCGTTCGTCATTACCGATAATTTGAATTTTCGCAAAGTTCGTTCGCGTCACGGCGAGGGTGGAAAACGGGGGGGGGAGGGGTGCGAAGGAGGGGACGTCGACTCGAAGCGCGGGGAGAAATTCTTTCCTCAGGGAGCGAAGAGTCGATCTTGCCGCTTGGCTATATAATTTCAGCGTGATCCACGCGCACATACACACACACACACGCGCGCGCGCGCGCAATACATGCACGTAGCGCCGCATTCTTCCAGAATGTTATTTCGAAAGAGAAGAAACGCCTCGTTAGTCCCGGTTGGAACTTCAACCGGGCAGGAGTCGCGGGCGTTCTGGAATTAAACCTTTTGAAATGCGCGAGCTTATTAATAACTTCAAAGAAGACCCGCGCGATTCCTCGAGGACACGCGTCTTCGACGCGCGCGCGCGCACACATCGCGGCGTGAAAGATCCACGGAGACGGAGGGAGAAAGAGAGGTCGCAAATTGCGATCATCCGATTGACGGCTCTCATTCCTCGAGCCGCCCGTTCGCTCGCGCCTCGACGGAACCGCCCGGCGATTGCGAACAATCGAGGGTTATACGTCGATCAAAGAAACGCGTCGCGAAACCGTACGACGGCAAAGAAGCCCCAGTCGCTTCAAAGGAAGCCCCTCCACCCCCCTCCGCCCCTTCTCCCCCGCCGTCCTGTTTCTACCCAATTATCCAGGCACAATTTCATCCTCTCCTCGCCAATCTGAGAGGCGCCCGGCGCTTGATGAAAATCGTTAGATCAGCCCTCTCTCTCTCTCTCTCTCTCTCTCTCTCTCTCTCTCTCTCTCTCTCGCTCTCTCTCTCTCGTTCGCTCACTCGCTCTCGCTCGGGCGCGCGCGCCCGAACGCTGGACGCTTCATTTTTTCCCCTCTTCTTATTTTTGCTCGCGAACGGCGCTCGCAGCGGCGCTTCGAGAAGCGTTAAATGTTTTATCATTTGCCGACGCGGCCGCCACATCGGTGTTGTTCGTCTAAATATTGAAGCTCGTCGATAACCGTTGACGATAAAATATGAACGGGAAAATAACGATAAATTCGACTCGCTCGCTCGCTCCTTTCGCGTCGCTCTTGCTCCCGCTGTTGCGCGGCCGCCTGAGCGTGTTCTAATTACACGAAACTCACGGCAACACAATGGCAGTCATGATTATATTGATCGACCGACCCCGATGCTTCCGGCCGCTTCGGATTTAAACTACAGGCACAAACGGCCGCCGCCACCGCCTGGCGGCACTATGACATTTGCCGTACGTAAACATTC